TCGATGTCGGGGACATGTTTGAACAGAGATACGCCAACGTCAACAACCTCTTGCCAATGGAATGAAATAACCTACCCGAAATGACCTGAGACGTTTTTTTAAGAGTATGCCACCCCAAATCCGAGCTTGTTTGGCCAACCGATGGGGTTTTACCTGCTACCAACCCTAAATGGTGGTAGATGTGTGACCCTGTGTTGGTGTCGACACTGGAGAATCTGTCGTTTTCTGACTGTACACTGGATTTCGAATAAATTGACAAATGTTTCCTTTCTGTTATTTGTTCCTTTCCTGACCACCTCATGATCAGTATTTCATTGTCCTTTTAAGTCTAAGAAAAAAAAACCTAAAAGGAGTTCAGGAGGTTTTTTTTTTTTTTTTTTTGATTACCTTAACGGTGAAAATCGAGGTTCAGAAACCTAATTTAACATCTACAAAAATTTTCCCCATTCATATTCCGAATGATGAATGGAATACTGCAAAATATGTCAGTGCGAAAATCGAAATTGAAAAAAAAAACACGTTTTGTATCTATTGGGCACAAAGGATTAAATTTCAGAAGTTGAGTTGAGTTACCGACAGCAAAAAATGTAAGTGTTTCCATAATGATATGAGATAACAAACAGTAACCACACTCAAACGTCCACTGAAACAATACAATTCGAAAGCAGAGCGAATACAGACCTCTAAAATCATGAGAGGTGATATCGGGTGCCATGCAGGAGTGAACATCCCCTGTCGTTTTGTCACAACTGCTGAGGTTTCCTAGTCATGATCGGACACACGGAAAATTCGTAGACAATTTAATGGGTAAATAATGGTCTGTCAATTAGTAGGAAAAAGAGATGAGTGTGAAATCAAGAGGTCCTTGGACCACATCACTCACCTGAGCACTGGGGCTAGGAAAAAAGGAAAATCAGTTCAGCATTGAAAAGCTTAAGTGGCCCTGACTTACCCTTTAAAGGGGTATGATTTAAACAATTTTAAATCTAAACTACCTAAGGATGCTTACATATTTCTGTGACTAACTTTGGCTGTTTTCCTGTCAGTTTGAACTTTCAACACGGCAGGCACGTAGCAACAAGGGGGGGGGGGGGGGGCTGGCCCCTCCACTTTTTTTCCCAACATTACTTTTACTCTTGAGATTGTTCATTGAAAGAGAGGTTCCCCCAGTTTATACTTCGGTAAGGTAATATTTGTTTGCAAAGAAATTGGTACTGAAAGAAGTTGGGCATCTGAAAAATTTGGCCCCTCCCCCCCCCCCCCACTACGAAATAGGATTTTCGAGTTTGGGCTGGGTATTTTTTTCTTTTTTTTTTTGGCAGTCAACTTTTCCAGGTAAGTAAAAAAAAATTGTCTGGCTGCCCCCCTCCCCTCCCCCCCCCGACTTTCTAAAACGATGCTACGTGCCTGCATGGTCCAACATTTACCCCGGGTGTTATGATTTGATTGAACAAATCTGAATCTACACTACCTGAGGATGCTTCCATATAACTATCACTATAATCATGGGTTTGCTGTTCTTGAGAAGATTGAATAGATTTTTCCTATATATTATACATGTATCTATATAAAATGTTGATCCCTATTGTGGCCCCGCCCTATCCCCTTCTGTCATAGTTTGAACAAACTTAATTCTACACTACTTGAGGATGCTTCCATATAAATATGACCAATCTTGGCTTTGCTGTTTTTGAGATTTTTTATAAGACTTTCCTACGTATTCTTACGTTTAACGTTGATCACCCATTGTGGCCTCGCCCTACACGTTGGGATCATGATTTGAACAAATTTGAATCTACATTACCTGTTGCCACATAAGTTTTAGCCAGCACCTACTGTGACACGTACGGGACCTCGGTTTATATTGTCTCATCCTAAGGACCGGTCTCCACGTCCCACTGTGGGATATGAACCCGTGACGTAAGAATCAACTCCTTACTTCGCAATTCTAGAGCACACGCTCTAACCACTGCGCCACGCGGGCGACAAGAAAAATTGAAAAAAAAAACGTTTATCATAAAGTTTTCTTGTGAGGATATCAAAACAAACCCAGACTCTTTATCTAGTAAACCAAATATGAAACACATGTGTCAGACGGAAAAGATGTTTGAGTTTGTGATTGACAATATCTATGTGGTTTTTTGAGACCAGGCCCCCCAAGACCAGTAACTGAGAACTGACTAAGTCAAAATTTAAAACCAGTGTAACTTTTCAAATAATTTTGATAATGAGAGACAAAATTTACACCAGATACTTATATTTATGTTCTGTAAAGAATTTCAAGTTTTTAATCATATACTAGTGCGTCAAGCAGAACTCAAGAAAGTGAAAATCAAAATTTTGACCTGTGTTCTCAGTTTATGGTCTCCATGCCAGGTGTTTTAATTTAATTAAAACTTCCTGTACTTTACACCTTTTGAAAAGGCTAGCAATTGGACTTTTAAATTAAGCTTTCAAAAATTATTTTAGCCTTTAATTTCCCTGTTGTTAAAAAGTGTGCTTTAAGGGGATAGAAAGATAATTTTTATGTTAAAAATGTTTTAAATGCATTCATGAAATCCAAATATTTCCACCTCGTAAAGATTATAAAAATGTAAGTATTTAAAGAATAATCTGGTGTAAAGTGTTAGGAATTTCATTCAAATGCATGTACATTTATATACGGGTATCCATAATTTTCTATTTTTAGTGATTTTATATATACTTTAAGATTTGTAATTACAAAGACATCACTTCATTTATCCCTATAGTTTATGAAAGGAAACATATTCAGAAAGAATTAGCGTTTAAGTTGTAATAATTATAAACACTCGCGATTTTGGTATTTGCATAAATAGTAATGCATAGACATGTACTTGCAATAATGAACCCACAATAATTCTAAAATTTACAAGAATGATTCTTTTGGCTACTGTGAAAAGTATTAGAGAAGTTCAATGAGAACTAAGCTTTTGCAGAAAAAAATCCTTTGTAGACCCCCATCTGCCCCCTAGAGGTAAGTCAAAAGTATTGCAGATCTACAGGACACCGCAACTCATGCTCTAAAAATTAGTAGGTCAATGTTTAAAAAAACAAAACTAGAGGTACTGTGAGTACTGATCTCACTAAATGATACCCCCGCCTATCATATGATTAAAATGGCAAAGCGCATGTTTTGCTCTGGGAAACTCGAAATAAGTGTCAGATAAAAAAAGTAAAATAGGAGGTGCACAATAGTATCCTGTAACAAAGAATTTGTGAAAGTATCATTTAATTTTATTCAGATGTATAGGAGAAGTTGACGATAAGAGATTGGTATCCTTCAATACTAGTATTATTTAGAAAGAATGGCAGGTCAATGTTTCGCTATGAGAAACTCAAAATACACGTAGGATGAAAAAGTAAAATAGGAGGTCACAATGAAACTTTGTAACAAACATTCTGTGAAAGTTTCATCAAATTCCATTATGTGGTATTGGAGGAGTTGCGGATAAGAGATGTGTACCCAAAAGCGTAAAAGACGAACGGACGTACAGCTTAAGTGACGGACGGACACCCCGATCACTATATACCCTTTCACTTTTCAAGCGGGGGATATAAAATCATTGAGAGGAGTTCTGAAACCAGTGTTTGGTTGAAAACTTTTTTTTGACCTCAGTTACTTTAACGAACATCTACCATAACTTTCCCATTCGTATTCAAAACTAGAGGTACTATGATCACTGAACTAACTAAATGATATTCCTCGCCTCCTATATGTTTATAATAGCAAAGTCTATGTTTTGTTTTGTTTGTCCGTCAAAAAGTAAAATAGGAGGAACATTGCATTATGTGATAAAGAATCTGTGAAAGTATCTTTAAATTTTATTCAGTAGTAAAGGAGGAGTTGCCGATAAGAGATGGGCATACTTTAATATTATAGAAAAAATTGCCATGTTATACTATGGGAAACTAAAAAAATACATGCAGGATCAAAAAGTAAAATAGAAGGTGCACAATGGAACTTTGTAACAAAGATTCTGTGAAAGTATCATAAAATTTCATTCAGTGGTACATGTATAAGAAGAGTTGCGGATAAGAGCTGGGTAACCAAAAGCGTAACAGACAGACGGACGTACACACGGACAGATATCCCGATCACTATATACCCTCGCTCTTTTCAAGCGGGGGTATAATGATGAATTGGCTACTGAATTAGTTATTTCAATAGTGGTTGCAACCTATGTTATTGAGATGGACTCCCAACCACTATTCAAATAATTATTTCTATGGTGGTCGTTATTTCAATAGTGGTTGCAACATTGCCATACCAAGGAAATCAGTGTTTCACAAATACATCTTGTTGATACATGCAGCCATTTACTTAATCTGTAAGAGTAAGCTACAGCTTCGGATAGCACTGTCCTTTGATAGACTGCATTTCCTGGTAGAATTGATCTTCAATTTCATCCTTATCCTAATCCAAGCGTTAATAAGTCTTTTTTTTTCAAAAAAGCATTTAATTCACTTTCATACTGATGATTTAAAGCACGTGACCTTACAAACATTGGGAAAAATGTTTCTACGTATTCGTTGCCCTTGGATAACCTTTTATAGGTCCAATTTCCTTCCAAATACAAATCTTTAAAAAGTAAAAATCTGTATGAATCTTCATTACAACAAGATATTTGTGTATAAACATGCCCAATCATGACTTTGATCCTTGTAATAATATTTTTCTGTGTATTGTTTACGACCTTTCCTAAATTGAAATTTGCACTTTCTATTTAAAAAAAAATATCTACATAATACATGTACGTGAGACAAAAATGCACAGAAAATTTTCCTTATTTAAGGCTACATGCACCATGCATATATACGGAACATTTTTTAAATTTACTTGATCACGGACAACAGCTGAATTTTGAGGTTGAATGTTTGTTCGCTTATTTCTATTTGAATCATTTATAGAGATTACATTATAATGCGTTTGTATCTTTAAATATTATAGATATTTCCAGTCCAGAAAGTGAACAAACAACATGCTTACATCATGCTTTTTGTCCCTCATCCTCACAAAAGGTAAGTACTATTTTTACTTTAAGTTTGAACAGATACACATCCACACCCTCACACACACACCCTCACCCTCGCACACACATACCCTCCCTCTCCATCCCTCACACACCCTTACCCTTACACACACATACACACACTCACCCTTATTCTTACACCCCTATCCCCACACCCCTCATCCTTAAACCCCCAACATACACCCACTCACTATCACACATAACACACCCGCATCAGCTACTAGTATTCAACATATATTTAATTGTTTAGGACTTTTAAAAAAATCTTTATAAACGTTTATTAAGGAAACTTTGAGAGTAATCCTCAATAAATATTCTTTTATCCTTAACCTCTTCCCAATAGCAAACAGTTGCATCATTATAATGAGCAAGGGCATTCTTTAGAAATTAGGATATGTCTCCAGAGTTAATGACAGAGGATCAGGTAAAGTCGTTCGTTATTGAAATTACATTTTAAATATTTTTTTAATTTTTTACATGATATCCCATTCATTTATTATCCATGGGTTAAGGGATTCAAGATAAAAGATCTCCAGGAGTCAAATATTGAATATAGTTGTGTATGCATTTTTTTTTCATTACAGTATACAGCTAATAAAAGGTTTTCGAACATTGTTAGCATACTTTTGCCTTTCATTTTTTAACTTCCATAAGGAAGCAATCTTGAGGAATTTTTTGAGTAATTTTATCGATCAGTTAATATGTGGCAAAATATTGGAATCATTAATCAGTAAACCCCCCCCCCCCCGACGAAAAAAAAAATCTTATACCATGCAGTATTTAATAGAGATAATTATTTTCTTTAATGCATAATATGAATAGAGGAATGCTTTAACACCGAAAGTCAACATAAAATACTAATATGTGTAAAGAAAGTTAAGATATACAGAAGTGCGGATAAAATACACATAATTAAGTCATCTCTACCGGTCGCCTAAATTCTGCTAAGATTGCCAAATCTTAGCTCGAATCTAGTTACGGTCTTAAGTTCATACTGTATTTAAGTCCTACTTAAGCACGGTCTTAAACTTAAGTAGCGTTTATGTTACGACTCCCTGGTAGACATTATTCTTCGAGGATAGTAAAATAATAGATTTTTGACACAACCTATTTGGTCCAATAAGATTTTTTACTTACAAGGGAAAAATCATTCTGTTTTCAAAACTGGGTAAAAAGTGGAATTTTCTATACAAAACATTCATTCAATGAAAATCGAAAACTAAAATCGCTTAACGATTTTTCAAGTGTTATTAAAAACAAGTCTCGTTTAAAGTTATCATTTCGTAAGTTCTATGGTCGATACAATGACCTTGTCAGCAAATACAATTCGTCATCGAGTCAAACGCTGTCTGAGATTTTTCATTCTAATTGTTAGTCCATTATTTTTAGGCCTACAGTGAATTGACGACGGATTTTTCTGTTATTTCCCGATCAATAAGGAGCACACGGCGGATGTGACCGATCGGCAGGGGATGCTCACTCCTTCATGGCACCTTATCCCATCTCTTACGTTTTGGAGTTCCGTGTTTGCTCTGCTCCTATTTTGTATTGTTCTATGGACTTTTCATCCCCATTACTGTTCGTTATCTCCATATGTTTCATTTAAAACACTGTCATTTTGCAGGTTTTCAATTTGCTAGGTTTTAGTAAACACATTATTTCTGTATTTTCTGTCATCTAGTATGTCACGACGATAATGAACATAAAAACGAATATGAGTTTTAAGAGAAGACTATATAATTCCCTATCTTATTATTAACCTTATTATGGATGTATACATGAATGACTATACAAGCAGTCACTGATATTTCTAGGTATCACCTCAACGATAGTGATAACACCTCCAGAAATAAATGCTTCACTTGGTAAAGACGGATCTATTGCACTAAACTGTACATTCTCAGAGGGAACATTTCAATCACTTCTATCTATGGTTTGGTTGAAGAAAATTGGAAATGAATATAATGACATAGCAAAATTCAGACAGTATCCTGAACAGGATGTACGCTTGTCCGAAAACGGTAGTTACCTGATAAACAGATCTCAACTGACCATTCCTGGAAGTGGTTCTTCTAGCAGCTTCATTTTGACAATCAATAACATTGAGTGTCGAGATGATGGGAAATACCGGTGTGTTTTAAATTACTTGAGGGGCGACGGCAGAACGTTTAGAATAACAGGAGACACAACTGTATTTTTACAAGGTAACGTTATAGAAACATTGTTTAACAAAAACTTTAAAATGCAAGTTAAAAGGTTACATGTATATAATAGAATGCGCTATTTTATCATCATTGCACGATGCGTAAAACCTATACAACTTTCATGTAGAAATTCAAGCGATGTGAATTTACATCTTACAGCAACACATTGCACAAAATTATACACACAGACTGTATACTAGTAGTTGCCTTAAGAATTCCCCTCATGGATAATGTTATAAATCCTAAATAAGCCTGTTTTTTCTGGGGAAAAATAAGTTTGGAGATAATCAAAACATGATGATAAAAAGTTTGTTAATATTATATGTACAATCTACTGATATTTACATTGATTATTTCAGAAATGAATTAATTTTGAAGATTTGTGACGACATGAACTGCGACGCTTCACATTCGTATATTTCAAGAAGCAACTGAATTATTTTCAAATTATGTTTAAAATAGGCTATATAGTATTAACTTTTAATAAAGCAGGTAGACACTTGAAAGAAAACTTCACACTAAACAAAGAACCCCTTGAATGTATTACTTCTTATAAATACTAAATTGGGAATACATTTCACTGCATCTGGAAGTTTTACACTTGCTCAGGATGAACTTTACAAAAAAGCTTCAAAGGCACTTTTAAATTACAAAAAAATTTCCTATCATTGAACCCTAAAATAAACACAGCTTTACATTTATATGATCATACAATAAAACCCATATTACTTTACGGTAGTGAAATTTGGGGGGCCCTTAACACTTCTACAGCACGATTTAGAAATGGACCCATTGCACTGGATGAATTATTTTCTCAGTCACTTTGTGAGAAATTACATTACAAGTTTTGTAGATTTTTATTAGGTGTAAATAGCAAAAGTACAAAATTTGCAGTCCTTTCAGAACTAGGTAGACAGCCTATGAGTTTTAGTATTGTTCAGAATATATTGAATTCTGGCATAGGTTAGAGGATTTGGATGACACATATCCTCTGCGTATACTACCTAAGTATCCAATTTCAATAAAAACAAATTATCATGGTTTGGTTTTACTGATACGTTTAAACAACTTCTTCCTCAGTTAACGCCTCATCTGATTTCATCTACATCAACAATTAAATATTATTGTAAATGCATTCTAAAATCATATTTTCTTGAAAAATAGTATCAAAAGAAGGAAGAATTAAGTAATTGTGGGAAATTGGATACCTATTGCACAATTAAACAGAACTTTGGACTAGAACCTTATTTAATAATCTTAAGAAAGTTTGAGAAAAGAAAGATTCTAACAAAATTTCGACTATCTTCTCACAATCTGATGATTGAAAAAGGTAGACATTACGGTATTGCAAGAGAAGAGAGAATATGTCCCGATTGTAAATTAGAAGAGATAGAAGATGAAGTACATTTTCTTTTAGGTTGTCCATGCCATAGTCAATCAAGAATAAATTTACTATCCACGATATCTATGAGGTATCATCATTTTAATAGCTTGTCTAAAAATAACCAATTTTTATGGTTAATGAACTGTGAAGATGTTGATGTGCTGTGCAAATTGTGTGAATTCATAAGTCATATATAGTTAGACAAATTCAAAATCATTTGATGTACATTAGTTAAATACTTATGCTACACTGTATGTTGTTGATATGTGTGTTGTATTATATACTCTACATTGAACATAAGTGGATAATACATGTATAATAACAATATACTATCCTTCAGCACTGACTCTTGCAGTCCATTGTAGTTCAATTTAATTAACACAAGTATCAATATACAATTAATTTATATAATATATATTAATCTCCATAAATTTTGATGTGCTGTGCAAATTGTGTGAATTCATAAGTCATATATAGTTAGACAAATTCAAAATCATTTGATGTACATTAGTTAAATACTTATGCTACACTGTATGTTGTTGATATGTGTGTTGTATTATATACTCTACATTGAACATAAGTGGATAATACATGTATAATAACAATATACTATCCTTCAGCACTGACTCTTGCAGTCCATTGTAGTTCAATTTAATTAACACAAGTATCAATATACAATTTATTTATATAATATATATTAATCTCCATAAATTTTATGTCTGTTTATTCTACATGAAGTGGAATTCTGTATATCCTTTAGCCCCGACTCTTGCTGCCTCTTGTTAATATATATATATATATATATATATATATATATATATATATATATATATATAGAAAGCACAAAGAAATTCACTTTTAAAAAAAAATACCCACTTCCGCCCCAGCCCGGGGTTGAACTCTCGACCTTCGGAATCTGTCTCCTAGCAGTGCAGGAACAGCGCGCTAGACCGCTCGGCTATCTAGGCAAGTCAAAAAACTTGCTTTCGATGCCGATGGAATTCTCGCGGCGCTGCCCTACACTACACGGTCATTGAGAATAGAAGTGAGATACAGTTATTTGGACATTAGTTTTAACAGAGGATTGTTACCAATACAAGTTGTTATGAAATTAATTATTATTTATAAAGCACATTTTACAACAACTCTTAAACTAACATAACTGCCCTAAGTATATATATATATATATATATATATATATATATATATATATATATATATATATATATATATATATATATATATATATATATATATATATATATGTGTGTGTGTGTGTGTGTGTGTATACCATTATATAAATGGTGCCTGTTTTGGAGGGTAACAGTTGAAATTGACACCCCAAGGAAAACCATTGTCAACCGACGCGTCAGCGGAGGTTGACAATGGTTTTCCTTGGGGTGTCAATTTCAACTGTTACCCTCCAAAACAGGCACCATTTATTTTATTATACTGAATGTCTTCTTGATTACTATGACTACTTCGAAAAAGATTTACTGACCTCTTTATTGTTTATTTCATACTCTACCAGTCCTTTATCATCTAAAGTTTCGTTATTTCTGCACTCGCAAGCATGTTTCGTCTGTCGTTTGTTGTTTTCAAGTAAGCTACATCGGACGCAAGCTTTTATTGACGTCAAGTTTATTCCTGTTCTTGCAAACGCGCAACTGACGTTTTGAGAATTCTACGGTGAACCTAGGCGCATAATTTCCACGCATGTGGCATTACCGTTGTGTTACCCGTTGTCACGTGTGTTGCTAAGGCTGAGGGTAATAGAACAGATTGTTAACTGCGTTTAAACCAATCAGATTTTAGTATTTAACATGAAAGTATAATAAAAATAATAATTATGCACAATTTTTGTACAACAACCCATCATGCATGTCTATATATGAAACTTAAAAATGCCACCAATATATATATATATCAGTATATATATGCTTAATCCAGGAATTGCTCTTCACCATATGTTGCATTCTGTCTATTACTTTATTATGTTTATATGTAATTATATATGTTATATGTTTATGCCCAATGGGCCCTGATTTGGTAATAAATTCTATTCTATTCTTTTCTATATGTATTGAGAAATTTAATTAATTATGAAAATTATTTCAATGTTGAATAAATTTGAATATGGAAAAATATCCTTTTAAAAACCGAGCTTCTTAATCACTTTTGTTTTTCTTTGTTATCAGTGCCCGCAGAACGACCATCAACTATTACCGTGTATCCAAAGTCCATTCTCAGAGAAAACGACGAAGTGACTTTAACTTGTTCTGCAAATACTGGAAATCCAGAAGGTTATATTGCAATATGGAAGATCAGTTTTCACGAAAATGTAGTAATATTACTGAATAGATCACGAACAACAGGGATAAAGAATACAAACTGTTCTGCTGTCACTCACATGACTTTAACTTACATCTTATCTAGAAAAGACAATGGTGCAATTTTCAGCTGTTCTTCACAAAACAGACTAACCCAGGTACCTGGTCCAAGCATAGTCACAGATACAGTGACAGTGCTATGTAAGTCATATTTAAGTATAGAAATAAATTTCGAAAAATAAATCTCAATTATAAAACCAAGTTCATACTTTGGAAACTCGGCTTTTGCTTGCTCTTTACAGAATATGTTTTACCTCTGTTCGACGTCTTCTAGCGTTCGCTTTTTCCAAAAGATACCCAGCTTTACAGATTTATCAAGTGTTAATAAATACAGCAATCTGTCTTCCTTCTTTCCCTATTGCTGATTTTAAAAGGCATGATAAACACAATGTACAAAGAGCAAGAGCCTCTTTGGGCCTTTTTTGGCCCTGAGAATTTCTGAAAAATCAAAACCGCTCAGTTTAGGTTGCAAATGCAGTATTTATCACTTGGAGTGTTGGTGACCACGTATCTATTAATCGTGACGTAGTTTCCCATCTAGTCCTTGCATTATGACGTCATAAAATGCGTCATTTTCCTCATATCATGTAAATTCCTTTGAAAATGACCTAAAGTTGAAGCATTTTTTCAATATTTTATATAGAGCACAACCTCTGATCCAAAATATGCAAATACAAAATGAAAGCTCTGTTTCTGAAGATCAAAAAACATGTTTTATTGTTTGGATCGTGGGCTGTGCTCATATTTTAATTCTTTGCTGAAGGTAGTCAAATACGCATATTTTCTGCAAAATTCAAGAACATAGCAATTTCTCAAACCTGTTTTCTAATATCTGGATTCTCAAAACGAAATTTTATTATGGAAAATGATAGCACCAAGTGTCTACTTTATTTTGATATATGAAATGGGGAAGAGGGTGATAGTTTATTAATTGATATAAGTACAGGGCCATTTTATGCATAAGACATGGCTCTTGCTCTTTAAATTACTTTTTCTATCGTCTAGATCTGATATGGACTCTACATTGTCGTTCCAACTCAAATTTTGTTTTTGCTCCTTAACACACGTTAAAAAGTAAAATAACCAATTTAATTTTTAAAAATGTTGAATTTCAGGGTTAACGCATTCGATGAAGAGTTTATTATCGCATCACAGGCACTTGGCAACAGGGGGGGCCTGCCCCCCTCCCCCTAAACTTTTTTTTCCTACATAACTTTTACTATTGACATTGAAAGGCTGGTTGGCCCCCCGCCTTTGGCTGAAGTAAAGTGATGTAAGGGTAATACGGTAATTGTATGAAGAAAATTTGCCACTGAAAGAAGTGTGTCTTTAAAAAAGTTGGCCTTTACCCCCCCCTCCCCTTTTTTCAGGTAAGTGAATTTTTTTTCTCCTGCTGCCTCCCTCCCCCCCCCCACTTAAAACGATGATACGTCACTGCATCACAACGGAGTTGGAGGGGATATAGTAACGCGCGAGTGTGTGTGTACATGTGTTTGTTTTTGTAAGTTTGTCTTGTGCGGAACGGAAGTGACGTAATTTGCAACGGGATCTATGTCAAATTCTGTGTTGATTTACAGATATGCTACTTGCCATGGGATGCTACGCTCTGCGGTGAACTTGTTTATTTCAGAATTGAAGTACAAAAAGATTTTAGACATTTCTTTTGCACTCGATAAAATTCTATTTGATCATTTTCAGCATTTGCAAAAGGGCACAATCCTACTCAATTTTTTATTTGGGGGGATGCTGGTTCTATATACTTACATATAATTTGATACCTTTTTTATAATGAATTACCAAACTTTTGCAAAAAGGAATGAAATATGGAGATGGCGAACAGCAGTCAAGCTCAAAAGTTCAATGGAACAAACCCAAACAGAAAAGAACAATCAGACCTCCAAATACATCAATGGTGATGATTTGATGCCATGAAGGAGTAAGCATCCCCTGTTGAAGCTTCACAACCGCTTTGTGCTTTTTGTCATGATTGGATGAACGAAAAACCAATAGGCAATTCAATTTGTTACAAGCATTCTGGGAGTATTGCGTAAGCAATACGTGTCCCCTACCGGGTTTCCGTTTTCTCTTTAGGATACAAGCTCGTTTGGAACTTTAATTTAGTGCATAACGAACCCGATCGCAATCACAAGTATGAAAATTAAAATAGCCACAATTCCGTCAAAAACCAATGAGGCGGAAAAACTGGATCAGAAACTCATCAAGATACACTCACATACCAAAAAATCAGCTCAATCTGCAAGTGTTTGGAAAAAAGTGCGGAAAACCAAGTGGGACAGACTGACAGACAGACGGAAGGACAGATAAACGGACGGACAGGCGGACTGACAGACTCAGAGGAAACCTAAAGTCCCCTCCGTTTTTACCGGTTGAGGCCTAATAATAGCCTCAAATTAGTATGAAAAAGTCAGTCAGCAGAAAGTATCACTCTAAAAAAAGTTTTACTTGTTGTTTTTAAAATAAGATATTAGATTAAGAAAAACTAGTAATAATTAGTAATCCATTTAGTCAGAATAGCAAGTAAATGACTATCATGGTTAGTAATTGAAAACATAATTAGTAATAAGGATGAATTCATTTACTTATAAAATGATTTACTAAGTATCAATAGAATTACTTAAATTATAGGAATTGTATTACTTTAAGTTAGTAAATGAACTACTCATTTTTGTTAAATTATTATTACTTAATTTAGAGATAATATGCTTTCTATTTACTAAATTTATGAATTATTACTAAGTAGATGTAATTCTGAAATTAATTAAAATCTAGAATATTTTTACTCAAAAGAATACTAAGTAAATGAAATACTTATCATATTTATTAAAATCGACATTATTTACTAGAAACACTGCAAGGTACCGACCCTCTGACATGTGAGTACTACTCACAGATTTCTTTATCAGAGTTCCCTAATTGGGCCTTCTGAATAGTTTAATAGAAGAAATCTACTTATGATGGAAACAATTATACTTTCTATTTCTTTTACCAATTTCTTTGTAATTGTTTTATTATATATAACAATAAAACATTTGATTCCAACTTCGAAAGCCTTAAAAATTGAATAAGTTGTATCTTTTAAAGGACCATTTTAAAAATGGTTAAACATTTCAAGTACTTAATATCGCATTTTTATTAGCGTGACTTTTTTTTCACAGGAAGGTATATTTAGAAGAAAGATAACTCCTCCTCACAGACAATTAGTGATTAGACTACCAAATTTAAGTAATTACTGATCTGAATTTTCCTTGATTTAGTAAATAAATTTTTGTTTTAAGTAAATCAATTAAATACAATTCAAACAAGATGTGTTTGTGAAACACCTATGCCCCTGTATGGCAACATAGCAAAGGTTAAACTTTTCTTATATGCAAATTTAAATTATTGGGATTTCTTGATATCTCCAAGGTCAAAAGGTCAAGGTTATTGGTATCTAATGAAAGGTCTTGCTACAAAAAATACATATGTGAAATATGGAAACACTTGCCTCAACCCTTCAGAAGTTATGGTCAAGGTTACCAATTTTGAAATGTAGGTCAAACTCCAAGGACAAAGGGACAGATTTGGTGGTATCCAAAGAAAGGTCTTGTCACAAGGATGAACTATGTAAAGTATGAATGCACTAACCCTAATCCTTTTAAAGTTACAGTCAAGGTTTGCTTTTTAAAAGTGGGTCAAACTCCAAGGTCAAGGTCAAAGGGTCAAAGTTCTTGGTATCCTATGAATGGTCTTCTCAAAATGATTACATATATGTAAGTATGAAAGCACTCGTAAAAGTTCAAAAGTTATGGCCAAGGTTAAAGTTTTTTTTCACAAGGATGGAAATCTCCAGGGTCAAGGTCAAAATTTCATAGTTGTTGGTATTCAGTGGAAGTTCTTTCAACAAAAAATATATATGTGAAGTATAAATGTCCTGGTATTTAATGTTCAAAACTCAAAAGATTTTGATAAAGAATAAGTTTGGATTTTTTGTGTATAAGTGAGTCAATCTTCAAGGTCAAGGTCAAATTTGGTGATACTCAAAGAAAGGTCTTGTCACAAGGAATACACGTGTGAAATATGAAAGTCATAGCTCCGCTAAATCAAAAGTAATGGGCAAGGTTAATGTTTCTGCGGATAAACAGATAAACAGAGAGACAGCTAGACAGACAGATGGACACGACAAAAACTATATACCCCCGAAACTTCGTTTACGGGGGCATTAAAATATTAATTATATAGTAAATAGTGGTAAAATGTAAGTAAAGACCAAGTAATGTTATTACTTATATACACAAATTTAAGTAAATATAAATTACTAAGTAAAACTTTTTAGTGTGTAAGTAAAACAATTCTTTAAAATGCAAAAATCAAGTAAAACATTTGAATCTAGTAATTGACATATATTTCAGTAATTGATTTTAAATTTTAAGTAAATGCTTAGTAATTATCTATTACTTATCTTTGTTATTTCAAGTAAAAAATGACTACTAAGTAAAACTTTTTTAAGAGTGATTGCGTTGAAAATCGAACGTCGAATTCACTAAATTAATATTTTTGATACCGTATTTCCGATATTGAAATACCATTTTTTGCTGTAGATATCTTTCTTTTATCATTGTATTTTTATCTGCAGATGGTCCTTCCTATGTGAAGATTGATATGTGGCCTACAAGTCCTACTGTGTTTGTCGGCTCAAAAGTAACCCTTACGTGCAATTCTGACGGGAATCCAGTTCCAACTTTCAAATGGATATATAATTCGACAAACGAGCGTTCTGAAAAGATGCGACCACTCACATGGAAAAAGAAAAAATTGGTTTTACATAACGTTGAACTCAACGACAGTGGTGTTTATTGCTGCGTAGCTTCAAATGCCATATTTGGAGAAATATTGCATAAGTCTTCAAATATAGCACTGATAATCCAAGAACAAGAGCAAGTAACGGTATATAAGCAAAGTTGTCGAGAAAATCAGTGTGCTTTCTCTGAAAGATGTGTAGTTCTAGATCACAAAGTTTTATGTACGACGAACATTTGGAGTTATATTGCCTTGCCATTCATTTTCTTTACTCTGCTATTTGTGGTGACAACTGCTGTCTTATGCATGAGAAGTAGTAAAGACTCATCATTCATAAAAGTTAATAGAGAGATGATGTTAGGGTTAGTATCAAGAAACTGCATCGAGGTATTGTCAATTTCCAAAATTATTTTATGTATTTCTTTGTTTTTGCAGAAGCTAATTCAAAAATAAGTTTAAAAAAGAGAAAAACTTTCGTTTAAAAAAATTCAACATTAACATACAATTTAGTTCAATGAAGAGGTCAAAATCTTTTATATAAGAAATGAAAAGAAAATATTCCAATAAAAAATAAAAAGTACATAGCTTTTATAATATGTATATTATAAAGAATATGAACTTTTTTATTTGTAATAGATATCTTCGTTCACTGAAAAGTAAGCAAACCCCAGGAGAAAGAGCCACTTTGAATAGCACAGAACAGTCCAGTACAGTAGAGAGAAGTGACACTACAACCTATGAAATTTTGAACAATAGAGAGCAAAGAGATGCATTTAGCAACGAGAAAACAAGATATGAAACTTTAAATATCGCGACGGAAACAAATACAAGATACGAAGCTTTAAACAATTCTGAACAAACAAGTGCAAAATACGAAGTCCTCGATATGGCATCACAAACAAGTGCAAAATACGAGGTTTTGAAAGCATGTATGAGAGAAGAAAAATATGCAAAATACGAGGAATTAAACATTTCAGGGCAAGACAAAGCAAGATGCGAATTTTTGAATGTCAAAGAATCTACAAATCAATAAGAGAGATTTTCATAATGTTTTAAACTGAAATGCAATACGAAAATTAGAAATCAGAAATATCTTAAAGACAACGTGAGAGTGCATGCATTAAGATAAATGATTTTTTTAAAAAAAAATTCTTGTGTATTCGATATATCTTTTTGAATAATATTACAATGAAATATGTTCAAAACATATCTTTTTGTACTCGCAATATTAAAAACATCACAAAGTCTCATAAACATTTTTTATTATATTTGTATATTTAAGTAGAGAAAAACATTGAAAGAAAAACTAACAGCCTAAATTTATGAAAAATATAATGACCATCTTTTCTTGATGTAGCAATATATCAATTTAACATGCATAGAGTTTACATATGTGACTCCCTGCTGCTTTGATACAATGTAATTACCATGTTCAACTAAAAAACAATTTCTGAACCGAAGCAAGCCACTGACTTATAAATTGGTGATATATCGATATCAACAATTTGGTTTAAAGTCAACTTTTTAAAAATTCTTTTAAGCCAAGACAATTTATTGTTTTATAACTCTAAGTAATATTCAAATGTAGTTTAAATCTTTCGTTGGTTTTAATAAATGACATTTTCAATCAAAAGTGTTTTATTAATACTTTATACAAGAGGTTAAGCCAAAAAAAAAAAAAGCTGCGAAAGGCAGAATTTTCATCTTTCATTGCAGGAAAAATTCTTGGATGGTCGAAATGATGACTATGCAAGCACGGGCACGGAATACTAATTTTGACGGGACAACCAGAAAAAAAATAGAACTTAACTGAAAAAAAAATTCTGGACAAGAAAACTTTTGAAAATCTAGTGACGGGGTGGGGTTGGGTTTGAGGGGGAAAAGTGTATTAACCTCCTATTTTTTCGTTTTGATTTGAAATGACGGTGATACATGTATAAAATAGCAATGGTTTTTAATGACAATGGTATACAATAACAACGATACATTTATAAAATAACAATAATACGAGGTTTGAGCAATAAACAATGTAAATACTTTTTATTATAATAAAAAAATAGAACTATTTTATTTACTTTTTCACATTTTAAATGTTCTATCACTGAAAATCCCATGAATTTTTCACATCGCCCTTGCTAAGAAATTTTCTTATAGAGTAAGCATGGTCACTACACTGAGCTGAAATCTATAATTAAATTTTTTTTAAATTATATATGTCAAGAAGAGGAGAATGGTTGCTTATTTGAAATTTTTTTTAGATAAATTGCTAAAAAAAATCAAATTATGGAAACGTTTTTACATCTGGAAAGAATAGTCTTTAATGCTATATAGTTTTCAGACTGATTTAGAAATTCAAAAATAAAAATTGAGAGTTAAAATATAATGATCAAACTGGTCAATTGAAATCTGTAGGGGCACGACACCAAAATGTCAATGCTGTGTGCAATATGATGTCTGAAAATGCCAGTTTAAACTGAATGACATTGTCAGCAAATACAATTTTATCATTGAGTCAAATGCTGACTGACGTTTTTCATACTAAATGTTATTTTATGGCACAATTCCGTATGTTGTGCTTTGTTTGATGGTTGATAGAAAAAACAATAGAAAATGTATTGAATTGAAAATTGTCATTTATTTAAATGACGAAGACAAAACTCACAATTACTCTAATCAATCATAATTAGTCAGATCAATAACTCTTAGTCATACATTTCAAAATCAAATTCACAATCAATTGATATATTCAATCACAATCAGTCAATCTATCTAATCAAGAAGTGTCAAAATCATAATCATACTAACCCATAATCATAATCGGGTATGATAAAATGTATGATCACAAATATAACATATGTGACAGATTAGAATTAAAAGCAACCATATACACATCAACTTCAAATTTAAACACTTTTAAAAATGAT